TATTATTATGTACTCTCGAGTCTCGACAGTCATTTGTCGCTGTCGTCGAAAAACGGTCGGCAAGACCTATTTCCGGGATTAGGGCTTTCGTGGAAATTGAAAGCTTCGGGCCGAGAGAGAGTTACGTACACACACACATATATATATATATACGTACACACACACGTCATTGGTGTAGAGCCCGTAAAATACGGGCTGGACAGGAGACATAAACTAAATATATATTCGGCCGGCGCTGCACAATGGCACATATTATTGCCATAAAGGGTCATTCTCTTAAGTGCCCTCCCCCCCCCCCCCGCTGGCCCACATGTCTCCCAACCGCTCACTTTGCACGGGAGGCGGGAGGGGGGCAACCGCGCCGCGTGTACACGAGATTCGGTTTTCGGGATTTTTATGCGTTTTTCGGGATTTTTATTTACTATTTTCTTCTACCCACAAGCCCTCGGGTCCTGCCGCGCTACCATATAATATATTGTATACCCTTTTCAGCAGCGTTCTGCCGATGGTGGTGTGTGCGTGTGTGTGTCAGTACGCGATAAAACCGACCGGTCCGATAAAAACGCAGTTAAACTTTTTTTCTCCTTTCCAATTTTTCCCCTATTCCGCGTGTATTTACGATCGGTAATTTGTGACCGGTTTTTGCTTATTTTCCGGATTAGAAGAACCGTTTTTCTTATACGCGTATTAGTAACGGTGGCGTGTGGGGGTGGGGGGGAGGAGGGCGTGTGTGTAAAAAGAAGAAGGGATTACCGGGCACCGAATAGGTTGATTTACTGTACACGGTTTAGAGAACGGCACTGTAAACGGTTTTTATGAACGTTTATGTACAATATAATATATTAAACGTCGTCCAAAGTGCTCTGGATTTCGCCTCTATATCGGCGGCTAGATATACGGCGTGTATATAGTCCATAAATAATTTGAGATTTCCGCCGGTTTAATGACGTATATGCGCACTACACACACTGCATTTATCGAGTACCACTATATATGCTGTACTTGCTATAACTTCGCAATTAAAGTTTCGGATTTAATTTGAAACTCGACGTGCTGCAGGTGCGGACGTCAAAGAGGCGTGTAAAGTTTCGTTTCGAAAAATTCTGCTCTAAAATTACGTACTCGTGTATAGTATATATGTATAGAGTAAACTAAAGTGTGCGCGGTTGTATTGATATTTGATTATACACTAATAATATAATTATTATTATATCCGCGTACACTCCACTCGGACTGTCTACAATTTCAAACGTGTGACGGACTGGTGTGTGGGTGCAATCACTTTTTTTGTGTTCGCTTTTTAAAAATAAATTACACCGTGTACTCACTACAATTTTTTTTTTTGTTCTCTTGTAAAAAGGTTTAAAAAGCCGTTTTGCAATTTAAATGACCATGCGCCGTGTACAACAATAATGACGGAGGCGGCCGAAAGGTTGATTTAGCGCGTAGTTTAAATGTGCATCAGAAGCGGTGTGAGGTCAAGAGAGGGGTGGGAACTCGGATGGGGCATACAAAAAAAAAAAAAACGAGAAACGAAACAGAGATCAAAATTCATAATACCCCAAAGGCCGGTCGGGAGTTTCGGTCAGTGCATGAATAATTTTCCTTTTGCCCCGCCTCGTGCCCGTCGGGTAATAATTTGACGTCGCTTTGTTGTGCATGTATATGCGCGCACGATGTTCGAATGAATAAATTTTCGCCGGTCAAATTAGTGGTCATATCATACACTCGCACACAAACGTACACTTGCACACACCCGCCGCAGTCCTTGGGTGAGGGATCGCCTCGCCTCATACCGCTGTCGGATTACTGCGGGGAAACCCGTGATCGCTCGGTTGGCAGCAGCGTGCATTAACGTATTAGATTTTAATATACGTAATGGGTAACGGGCCTCTGCGTATCGTTGTTTGTGAAAATCGAACAGTTTTCATCTGTAGCTTTTGCCGCCGCCGCCGCCGCCGCCGCCGCCCCGTATCTCTCGTCTCTATACTGCACGAGTCTGAGGGTGTACGTATCATCGTCGTCATAACCCATCGCGCAGCGTCGTCATCGTCGTTGTCGGGATGCACTCAAGTCGTCTCATCTCGCCGGAAAATTTTGCGCACAAACTCGTATTTAATAAAATGGTTTGGCAAACAACACTATGGCAAAGTTTAAAGTCAACACGCGAACGCTTAAACTTTCAATCTACAAATTGAATGTATATGTGCGCACCGTGATGTGCGTATACGCCACCTCGTCCTCGCCATAGCTGCCATACTTAAACATACATATACATGCGGATGATGCGTACTAAGTGGTGTGCGATATCCATATACATGATATACGAATTTAAATTGGAGATGAGTGTTACGTACCTATATATATATATATGTATATCTATACAAGTTTCGAGTGGTTTCGATATGCCGGGGGAGAAGAGAGGATGTGAAAGGGTTTAATTCCCTTTTAGTGTATAGCGTTTTAATTAACTTTCGCCATTCTTTTATATTCATCGAAAACAAACCAGCCGACGAGCGTTCGCTCACTCGTGTGTGGTCACGCGCACGACGGATCACTGCGCGACACCGGTCCCCCTATAACCGTACAATATGTGTATACCGAGCAGACTATAATATAATATACGTTAAAAGAACGGGCATTTTTCGCTCCCGGCAGATAATCGCTCCCGAGGTATTTCGCATAATATTTCGGTGCATTGTGTGCAGTGTGTGTGCCGCCGTCGAGGTGACAATACGGGTTCGTTAAGGAGGCGGTGATGGATGGAGGAGGAACACGACGAGTTTGGGTGTATTAATCGCCGACGTCGTTCTGTGCATTCGTTGTGATGCGCTCGCCTTTCGGTCGATTTGCCACCAGGTTTTCACGCTTTTATAATATGACGACGTACAGCTCGCATACGATCTTCGAACATTGCCTGCACGGGACTCTGCTGTATATGAATCGAATGTACACGGGGCGAGGTGTGGTGCGAATTTTTCGTCAATAGTTTCCATTCCAGGTCGCTGTGCTTCGGTGTCGGGCGATGTGTTTTAGAGGAGAGGCGTATACACGTCGTGTACGGTGTTGTTAATCCAATATCCGAAAAATTGTGTATTCCCACCGGTGTTATATACGCGGACAGGTAGGGCACAGCCGCCGCCGCCGCCGCCGCCGAGTTAATAATAATAGAACCGAGAAAATGTAATATAAGATCTGGAGGAGAAGACGAAGAAGAATTCTTTGGCAATAATAGCTCGGATACGGGGGGGTGGCGTTGGAAACTCATGTTTATGGGTCTCCGGGTGCAAGAGACGACGGCGTTGTTTATTAGCGTCTTTTAAAGAGTTGCACTCGTTTTCACTTCGTCGTGTATGCTCCTCGCCCGCAGTTATGAAATTGGACCGCCGCCACACACACACACACACACACGCGTACACCCCATATTTGCTTCTCTATCTATATACATGTATATACGACGACGGTTGTAAAATAAACAACTCCGGAGTTTAATATCGAGAACGACGTCGTAGTCGTCTCGGGGTAATATCGTTTTCTTTCTTATTTTCACGCGTCAAAAGCGTTTTTATTTTTGCCGCCGTTTTTACATACATATGAGGCGACAAAATAAACGACGAGTCTGCTCCCGCTGTAATTGGCAACGATTACCGAGTTGCAAAATGCCACTTACGCCACTTGTGATGCAATTTATGAAAACGTTTTTTCACGGTATATCCGTAAACCTGTACCTCGTTTAATAATATCCCTAACCGACTGTACAGAAAAATGACTTCTCCGCGCTTCTTCATTTCCTACTCTGTTGTTGTTTTGCGCATTGTTTGTTGTTTCGTAAAATAGAAGATTGGTATGTTCCTTGTTAATGTAATAAATACGACTGTAGCTATCACAATATAACGATATAATATATATATATGTGTGTGTTTATATCTATACGATAAAAGAGTAAATATCAGTTTCTAAAGTTTAATCTCTTTTACCGTGTTTCGATGGACGTTTCAATATATATATATATTGTCGTCATCCGCGTTCTCGTTTATATATATATATATACACACATAGTGACGTTTACGAAAGATTTTTAATTCAAAAGTGTATATAAAAGTTTTTATATATATATATATATATATATATGTATATTCCCCGCCGCCGCGCAGGAAAAACGTCTAAAAGCAACCCATGTAAACCCGCCGTTTACACTTATATAATGTATATAAAGGTATACACTACGTATGTGAGTGTGCAATAATAGGTCTGCCACTGGCAATCTATTTTTCCATTTATAGTTTATACGCACTGCTCTCTCGCGCCCTCTCCCCGGTCGGGTCCATTAACTGGCCCACTAATTGCGCGCCGCACGTCGCTGTGGGTAGGGGTGGCGGGTCGGTGCGGCTCCTGAACAAATATACTTTGCGAAAAATCTCGTTCAGAGAGGGAACAAAAAAAAAAAAAAAAATCGGCAAAGAGTAATGGACTGCTTTTATTCGATTCGGTAGGCCTCTTTCGCAGCGGCGGCGGCGGGTGCGCGGCAGGTCAGAGGTAAAAGTAATCGGTTTAATCAAAAAACTCTACGTTTAAGCACCGGGAAAAGTTTTTCACAATGGTATGCTGAGACGCATTGTTGCTGCTGCTGCTGCTCGTCCGGGTCACAAATGCGGCAGCTAGCAGACGCTCACTCGCCACATACGCCAATAGAGAAAAGGAAACAAAAAAAGAAGTCGCGTCCGAACGAGTGCAATCCGTCTTGATTGAAATCCAAACCAATTTTGATTAACGTATAGCATCTATAATAATATAATATAGTACCTTTACCACTAGAGTCTATTGTGTGCGCGGTGGATAAGGAGATCGGTGTTGTAACTTTTTTCCCCGACGGCCGCAGATTCCTTTCGACCTAACTCCTCCCCTCCCCTGCCATGCGCGCTTTAAGTGTATTACAACGTGACGTATGTATATATATATAGAGATGCACTAAAGTTTGTGATTATTTTGTTCCTTTACAGATCGAAGACGAAGGCAACCACGGAAATGACGAGACCAGATCGTTCATTTTGTCATCGTTGGCCGCTCAAAATCAATCGCGAGTCAACTGCGTCCTGTGCTCGGACGTCATGTTGGTGTTCGACCGATACCCGCTGGTTGACGGTACATTCTTCCTCAGCCCCAAGCAATATAACAAAAATGCTGTCGAGGTGAATAAAATATTTTTTTTGGCATTATAAAATTTGGAGAACGCCGATAGTTAAACTATTTTTTTTTTTTTGCTGTGAATCATTGACTTGGTAGCGGCGTCGATTATGACGTATAATTGTCATAATATATGATATTTCGTCGAAAACTCTCGGGCGGACTCTTTATCGTTCAATAAGTATTTCCTACCCTCGTTGCTACGGGTCTTATGACGGAATCTCGAAAAATGTTCCAGCGTAAAATATATACCCGCGCTCTTGTGTGTATTTTTTTCTTTGCTCTCGAAAGGACCGATAGAAATAAGACTTATAAACATGTGTGTGCGTTCGCGTGATCGTTTGACCGTAAAAAGGACCTTTTTTGTGCGTGCTGCGTGAATGTTGACACACACTCGCACACATGCACGTGAGGCGACGAGCTAATATTTGTCAAAGCATATTTCACGCGCGTGCACAACGGTTTCGCTTCGTGTGTTGTCCGATTCCTCCCTTAAGTCGTCGGCGGTCTTTTCACCACGGTAAATCCCTCGTCGAATGGGCGGGGAGTAAAGTGGCCCAGACGTTTGACCCCTAACGGTGACTATTTTCTCTCCCCAGACGACGGTAAACACAAACGCCGCAGCCGCACAGCCTTCGAAAAAAGTTCCGACTAAAAAGCCGCCGTTTCCGCGAGCCGGGATAATCCTCGCCCGTCGTGTTTTCGCTAGATGCAGGGCATATAAATCCCCGAAAGCCATAAAACAACACAATATATTATTATTATTATATTCTCGGTTCATTCGCACACATATATTTTAAGCTCATACGACAATATGTGTTCGACGACGCTTCGTATTATACATTACAATGGTGATCCGTCACTTATGTTTCCGAAGCTTCTACGATGCAGCTATATGCTATAATATACATGTTATCTTTGGTTTGGATATATATCTTATCGCTGAAAACTCTCATTGGATAAAGTAAATGTTTACCGGTTTCCCGTGTAGTTTACACGCGAGAGTTCGAAAATATTGTTTTTTTTACCCTCCCGTGGATTACGATAGCAGTGATCTCGACTTTGTACCCGGCAGTACGAAGAGTGGTGCGTGTTGAACAAACAAGTTTTTACTCTGAGGGCTGTTTCTTTTTAAGCCGCTCGCTTTTCTAATTAATTACGCTTCGGTTGGCTTTTTTAAACGCAAATAACGAGACATCATCAACATCATCATCATCATCATCATCATCATCATCATCGCCGACGACGACCTTCGCTTTCGCCGTCGGTGTTGGTTGTAGTGGTGGTGTATCCGTCTCGTTTCGGCAAAGGGGTGCCGTGCATCACCCGCGTTCCAATTAAAAAGTTCGTCTCTCTACACAATATCAAAAACCGTCGTTGCATAAATATGTGCATATATAGAAGAATAAGATTTTCGGTGTTTTTTGTTACGTCTTTTTCGGTGTGTTTACAGAGAGACGTTGGTGGCGAAGAGAGTGATACCGAAAAAGAGGAGAGAGAGCACAATCAAGACGTCATTCTTCCTATATAATACTACACCGTCAGCGGCGGGGGGACCTACTCGCTGGTTTTGTGTGCGCGCGTGTGTGTGTGCAGGTGTTCTGTGGCTGCCACACGAGTAAACACGGGGTAAAAAGGCAAACATCTACCAGGTTTATAATTAAAACCTACCCCCTCCTCCCCTCGAAGTTTAGTTAGTGTTGTTTGCACAGTCTGCTCCTCCGGTCGGATTTCGATTTCGAAATGAACATTCTTATTCTCCGCCTCGTGCCGCCACCGCCAAAACCGCCGCAGCCTCAGCGTTGTCGTTTTATTTTCGTATCCATTTCGCCGACGACGCGTTGTTACTGCGCGTTTTCGTCGATTCCGTTGGCCAGTGCACGCGGCTAACACACAAGAAATTATTTTCGTATTTTGGACGCGTACACCTCGTTAATATCAATTATCGACGACAACCCGTAGAGGGGAACGGGAGAGGGAGACGGAGAGAGAGAGAGAGGTGCATAGAGACAGCCACACAAAGAGATTTCCGAAGGAATTTTTTAATGGTGCTACTTTGCCCGAAACTGTAGTCCCGTAATGACGTTAATAGCAGAAATCGTCATTCAGTTTTTTTTTCGGAATGATCTTTTTTCCGTTTATATCCAAATCTTATTACTTTTGAGCTGCTCGGTATACTATGAATATATGATTCAGCGTGGTATTCTCGATAAGTCGCCACCGGTCGTATTAAAATATTTCTACTTCTTTATCCCGCCTAATTAAATATTTATCAAAACAATAAATAAACGAATCTCGTTATGATTTATATTGATTTGCGTTTTTACGCAAAATTATGTTTGTTGTCGTTGGTCTATTTTTTTTTTCAGACCTTACAGATCGTTACACAAAAAGCCACACAGGCTTATATAGTTGATATGTTTTTTTAAATCAAATTTTTGACCACGTTGTATATAGTATAGTCCATATATATAGTATACCTACGTCCATGTGTACTCTTGAGCCGGTTTCTTTACTCTCGTGGACGGCGTATTGTGTGTGTGTATTCTATCCCTGGTCATCGCGTAATTACAGTGAAGACTAAACCTCGTTTTCCCCTTAAACATTGAAAATCGCTTTCGTTATTTGTCTAATGGAACTTCTCTCAGTGCGATCATCCCCTACCACACACACACCCACACACACACCGTTTTCGTAAAAGGGTCGGCGGTGGTGCAGTTTTTTTCTCCATTCTCTCCGAACATGTCGATTTTAGATTTCCCATTAAACGTCGCAATGTTTCCGCTTCGCAGTGCGTGCCGCCGCGCGTTTCTTAGGAAAACAACCTTAGAAAATCATCCGGTTTTTGCCCCTCCGCCACGCCACCGTCGCGCTCACCTTCTACCGTCTGTACGTTTTTAATGATTTCGCCGGCGGCTGAGTAGTGTGCGGTGTGCGTATTGCTTAACACACACACACACACACAAACGCTTAAAAGAAAAAGTACACTCGGGAGACGGTGAAGAATCGGGTACAGAAATAATCGAGCGAGCTCAGAAATCATTATTATAAAGAACTTACGTCGGCGGCGGTGGTGCGTGAAAAGGGCGTTTATTATTATATTGCCGAGGCTACGCCGCAGGGGTAGTTTTTTCGACAGACTCTGCCGCCGCTAAGCGTAATACTTTGATATGGGGTGGTTCGGTATAGTTCCAAGACTTTTTAGCATAATGTTTTTATGCCGCTCATAAATTCGGGTGTTTTTTTTTTTTTTTTTATCACCTGTCTCACGCCCGTCCGTTTTCTCGTATTGTGCCCGCAGGTGAAAAATGAGGGACGAGCTCTGTTCCTGAACGCCGTCTGCATGAAATGTTTGGACGGCAAAGACGCCGACCGGAAGCTGTGTTGCCGATTCTGCGCCACTCAGTGGGACGGTTCGTCGCTCATTATGGGCACCATGTACGCGTACGACGTGTTCGCCGCCATGCCGTGTTGCAACGAACGACTCAAGGTATGTACACGCTTTGCAATATTAATTTTATGTGCGCGACAGAAAATATTATCTAATAATCGTATATTGAAAATGGTTTTAGAGAATTAATTTTTGTATGCAATCTGTCGTCGGCCGCACCCCAATATATGTAGTAAATAGGTCGTTGTTCGACGACCATAATTGGGCCGAGCGATCTCTTTTCGTCACAAACAACAACCCTTCTTCGGCTGGAGGGTATATAGCGTGTGAGTTGGAGGGGGGTTGTTGAAAGGGATAAATGCGGGATTGGCTGCCGCGCGTAGTGAAAGTAATTATGCAGTATTAAGCAGACTTTCATAATTCTCTCGCCGCGTCGTTCAGCTAATTAATTTGCGTCACCAAAAATAATGCTGTACTACCCTGCGAGCGCGCCTATACATGAAGTAGGACGGATTTTAATACGTCCTTTGAAGTCAAAAAATAATTTGCGCACGTCTCCTCCATCACCTTTAACCAGACGTGTGATTTTGCGTTAACCTAACACGATACTTTCACGAGTGCATTTTAATAATAAATTAAAATCCTTTTGAAAGATCCAAACGCGCTAGCTTAACAATGTTTCGACAAGTATTTACGCGAAAAATATGATCGAAAAACACTTCAAAGTCCTGTCCCGCCACCCTGCGTGTACTTACATCCAAGTATATTGTTTTCTAAATTGTTGTTTCTTTCCTTGTGTTTGCACAGTGCAATGGCTGTCAGAAAGCATTGATGTTGTCGCACCAACGACTGAACTTCTACAGCGATTATAGCCGCAAAGTCACCTGCCCGCACTGCACTTCCGTCGATTATCACTTCGTCAAGCCGCTCGCCGTGTACTACACCAGACAGTGGCCATAACATACGGCCACGGTCCCGACCGCAATGGTCGGGGCCGGGGGCCGCCTACCGGCAGCCACCGCCACCGCCGCAACAGCGGTGATTTGCTCCTCCTCGTCCGCAGTCTCCGTCACCCCACCGGCCGTGCTCCAACAGCAACAGCTACAGCAACAAAACCATCAGCATCTGCAACAGTTGCAACAGCAACAGCAACAGCTCGCGCCGCCCGACTACACTTCGGTGGCCATCGAAAAGCTGCTCCATTCCATATGGGACACCAAAGTCAACGACATCATGGCGGCCATCAACCACTTGGGTTTGGTCTGAACTACTAAAACGCAGTCGAGTGTATAAAAAAACCGAAATGGCTTTTTCATCTTTTCAAAAAACAAAAAACAAAAAAAAAACAAGGTGTTCTTTATTATTATTTGTTCGTAGTTGTTTTATTATTATTATTATTATTATTATTACGTTTGTGGTTTTTTTTTAAGCGAAAAAAAAACATTGAAATAATCATTATTCGTAAGATTTTAATTATTATTATTAGGTGTTAGTGATTTTCAAAGAAAAGACGTCGTAATGTAATTTTTTTCTCGTTAAAATATTTTGTACAGCGGTCCCCGTTAAAAAAAAATTCAAAAAAAAAAAAATATTATCCACCAAATAATTATTGTACAATAGTAATAATATTATGTAATGGGATGATATTATTATATACCTATATGAGACTTCGAGCGGGACCCTATCGACAGCTTTTCCTCACCCGCCCGCCCGACGCCACGACGTGAACACCATCATCGGTTTTTTCGATTTCGGCGGACGATTCGTCGGCGGCATTTCGTGTACGTATGTATGGCATTTTTTAGTTCTTTTTGTGTAGTTCGAGGTGTAAAAAAGTCAAAAGAGTGATACCGTTTTCATTTTGGTTCTTATATTAAATTCGACACGTCGGTGTGTACTATATTATTTTAGTTATTTTGTAATCTCCGCGCGATCTCCGACATCATTAGAGCTGTAGTAGTGTTGTTAAAAAACTTACTCTCGCGATCAGTTTTCTTTCTACGGACCGCTGTCTGTCGTGCGGAGTAGCTTAAAATAATTAATAATTATTGTAGTCGTACACGGTTTTTCGCCAACGATCGTCGGTGTCGGCGGCGGGCGGAAGAAGCGTCGCTTGCGGTGGTGTGTGATATTAATTCGTTTTGGTGTCGTCGATTCGTCGACGTCCTGCGGGTTTAATTATTATTATTATTATTATTATTATTATTATTATTTATATTATTTATATTATTATATTATGTGTATGATAATATTCTTAGAACAACAGTACAACATATTATATAATTGATTGATTAATGATAAATACGTAGAGTACAATTATTAAAAGTAAAGGAATAATTTTAATAATAATATATTATTATTAAAGCGATATATGGATAATATTACATAATAAATAATATCACGTTTGAGCTATCTGAAACCTATACGATAATTTTACCTATTTGTATGTTGTACGTAGACGCGCACACATGAGTCGTATCGCCTGACGATATTATTATTACTATCGTTTTGTGTGTGCTACTTGTGCGTGCGCATATTTTGATGTATATGACGTGTGTGTGTGTAACGTGTGTGGTTATAGACACACGCGACATTATATTTATTATTATTATCATTATTATTATTATTATGTATTCTTGCTCTGATGCTCAATTACGCGCTACCTCTTGTTTTGTTTACCAATCGTACTATATGTTAATTAACAAAGTAACAAAGAAAGGAACAGTTTTTAACGTGTGTGTTAATAATTATATTATAATATACAAAAACAAAAATCTCGAGATTTAAAATTAATTAATAATATATAGTATACGGGTTTTTTTCGTTTTTTGGGTGTTTCGTTTTGATTTCAATTCCATCGTGTCATCATCACTATCATAATTTTTGTTATTATTCATTTTGATTTTGGATTTTTTTTTTTTTTTTGTCGATTTCGATCAACTCGGGGGACACAAGTTTTAATACAAAAAAAAAAATACACATCGTTGTTTAAAAATACCTAATCTACCTCGGGTTTCATTTGTCTCACGGAAATGAATACTCTTTAGTTAATTTTTTTTTAACTCATTTTAGCCCAAGTTGAGTTGTTTTGATTTCCATATTATACTTCTTTCCTTTATTTATATTATTTGATATTGTTAATGTATACATATATTGTAAATCGTGATTTTTTTATGCTTTATGTTTTGTTATTATGCACTAATAGTACAACATTAAACAAATTATGTTTTTAATTAATGATTATTTATATAGTCTAAATGAGTAGGTTTATAAATTTAAAAAAAAAGTAAGGGAGAAAAAAAACAAAAAAAAAAACGGAACGGATCGTACAAATGGAAATACTTCATTAATTGATATTATTAGCAATATTATATTATCTATATATAATATTACGTGGATTTTTTGTATTATCGGCGTAAAATTTTGACTATTTTAAACAAATTAAATCGTATTTCTAGGAGAGTTTTTGTTTGTTCGACGCGTTTGGATTGTCGCCGTGTTATTATTCTATATATTTTTTTTCTTTTCGACATACTCTGTCTGTACCTGTTCATTAAAAAAAAAAAAAATAAAACATAAAAAAAAAACATTTTGTTTAACTCGTTACAGCGCATTTGTTAGTGTATAGATAGTGTTACATGAGTGGAAAAAGAAGATAGAAGGGAGAATATAAAAAACTCACTTTTTGATAATATCATATTTTTCACCCCATGTATTACAATATTATAGTATATTATATTATGTAATCGCTATAGTATTAGATTTTAACCCCCCATTCCCCCATGTACAGTTATTATATTGTGTATTATTATTATTATCATCATCATCATCATCATCATTTTATCTATTATTATTAATTATTATTATCATGATGTATGTATGTGTAAAGGAATTTCTTATAATTTTTTTTCATCGGGTCTCGAATTGCGTTGAGAATTTTTTTATTAAATAATATTTTGTAGAGTTTTTCGGAGTGGTTTGCGTTTTGTGTAATATTTCTAAGGGATTTAATAAGAGAGAACAACAGATACCTTCTATAAAATAAGTAGTTTTGTTTTCAATATTGATAATTTGGTTACATTTTATAACTATTAATTTATTATTATTATTATTTTTTTTTTGAACGAGAGAAAAGAACTCGACATTTTTAGTTTTGCATTCTAGTCAGAGTCGGAATTTTAATAAAAATCGAAAATCATTAAATATATAATACTCATACATATATTTAAAACAAATAATTCGAACTACCTATTTTATAGTTTTTATTACACATTTTGTTTTTATTTTTAGCACTTTTTTTTGTTAGCATTTTTGATTTTAGTTAATTTTTTTCCTTGTGAGTGTATTTATATAGCAATAGTTAGAACTTTTGGTGACGGTGTCACGGTTTTTATTTTCCTTACAATTTTATTTTAACGCGCTCTTTATATAAGTAAGTTAGTATGTTAGGTCTGAAGCTATAATAAGGAGGCGAGAGTCTGTAATTATGTCTCGATTCCTGCCCTCGGATATTATTTTGGAGGAGGGGGACTGTGAACTACTGACTATTATCCAACAATTGTAAAACGTACTTACGTTTTACGACCGGGTGGTGGGGGAAGGGTAAAACATATCGATTCTCGATGATAGGCCCGCTGGTTGTATAAATGCTCAATAATTATGAAAACAAGCAAATAATGAATCTATAAAAAAAAACAAAACGTTTTGAGTAGGTGATTATGTTATGGTATTTGTATTGAATAAAAAGATAATTAATATTGAATACCACCCACCCGTCTCGTGACAAATAAACGGTCGATTGCGGATTTAATCTAGTCGTATGTGACCCGCGTAAGTACTACACGTGTAATCGGTTACCACATATTTGCAACCCCCCAACTCACCATGGTGATTCTCACAATCATCTCTCCTCTCTTCATTTATTACTTTACTGCGTTTTATTATCCGTTTTTCGCCGTTGTCGTATAATATTAAAAAAAAATTTCCGAAAAATCTCGAAGACTTGTTTTGTCAGTCGTTCTTCCTCCCCCCCCCCTAAACGGGCCGCGGTTCGTACTCCTTTATAATAATAGTTTTTTTTCGTTTTTGTTCCGTTTCAATGTACAACAATCCAACCTCTCGTCGTTTAGCGAAATTTTTTTCACGTAGTCTTCGCTTCAAATTCGTTAACGTGCATCGTGTATTTTATCGTTTTTTTATACATATATATATATTATACATTGTCTTTAAACAAAAAGTAGTAAAATATGATTTTAGGTTTTTTTCAAAAAAAATATATATAAATGTGTATAGACATTAGGGTGTTTAGATTATAGTGAGTGAATTATGTATCATAATGATTAAATTACGAGTACATAAATATATACTTAAACATAATAACTTTAATATAATATTGTGTACGGTATTTAAATTTTAAATATAACATAACTATATATATATATATATATTATATGTATATATATATATATTTGATTAATAAAAAAATATAAAATTTTAAATAATAAAATAGGTACGATATAATTATATATAATATTATTTATGTGTATTGAAAAATCGTCGGTTCAAAGTACAAAAACTTAAAATATAAAAAAAATAACAATAATCACCTGTCCACTATGTGTTTAGACGCCTATATTTATATTATATAATTATATATTATGAAAAAAAAAAAATGTTGAATTTTATTCAGAAGTGTAATAAAGTGTTGGTGTAGAACGGAGATTAGTGTTATACAAATTAATAATCTATGAGGCCTAATATTGAAGGGGCGTTTTTTTTTTTATTATTATTTTTATATAGACGGTCAGGACTCTGGATTCTTTCCTCTCGATTTTTTTTTTCAAATTATTATTATTATTATTATATACACTATACAAATACATATATTTATATTTAAACGGTAAAGTTTTAACAAGAACTCTAAGAAGTCTGGCAGGAAACATCCTATGTTTATTATTTGTTTTCGGTTTTTTTTTTTTTTTATGATTATTATTATTATTTATATTAATATTATTTTAGATAATTTGTTACGCATTCGTTTTTATATTACCAATTCATTGTAGAGATTTTCTCGAGGAGTATTTTTTATTATTATTATTATTATTATTATATATATTTTTTTTTTTTTTGCTTTCATATAATAAACATGAGGTACATAAATATTATTTATGTATTATATTATTATAAAAAAAAAAAAACATAATTCGTTTTGTTTTTCGCGCGTCTGTGTACCTATGCACGACACACGACGAAGACCGCACATCGTCGTTTCCGGTGTTTGGGTTTTCACTGCAGTGCTCTCTGTGAATACCTCGAAAAAGAATGTTCCTAAATTG